CATAATTACCCCGGGAGTAATCTGTGTACACATGAGCTACTCCTGAAGTAACTAGCATATTAGAATCTACCACAGGAATAAGGAGGGCTTTCTAGGAACCCACCTGTTGCTTCACCTGCAGCTAAAGGAGCATATTTGTAGCATATGCACAGGCAAACTTGGGGTCATGCAGCTTTCCTCACCCATGCTACCTTCCCACAACAGCCATCCTGCACTTTCATTCAGTGTAGCAAACTGACTTATATGTATTGCAACCCTATGTGAAATCAGGCTTATCAGTTTGATTGTTTTGCCCTCTAGTGGTTGGCCTAAAAAAGACTTGGATCTTTAGCTAGATGTAAAGTCTATGATGATGGAGATGCTGTTCCTTTAAGGAATAATGATGCATACTGGGATAGGGCCAAGTGTCATTGTTGTATCCATTTTTAGCAAGGTAAGAGTCAATCCGAGTACCATGTAAGATCTCATACTTGGTAAGTACTTTAGCTATAAAATACAGAATACATTATTCTATTGTGCTTGAGTATATAAGTTGCTATATAACACCAGTGACAGCAAATAAGACTGAGTTAAAACTGACTTAGACAATAGAACTCATCTTCTATTCTAACTCTTGCTTACATGTATATTATGCATGACTAGTGTTTTATTTACATCTGTGCTGCACAGACCTAAAGGTGAGACTCTAATCTATTAGCGTGCTGAGCCATTAAATCCCCTGTACCCACACAAAATATTGTATATCAGAATAGTGATCGCACATCCTTACTGAAAGCAGAAGTCAAATCATTCCTTTCTCTCTCCCTCAGTTGCCTGGAAGAAGGAATGTTTGGAAAATAGAATCCACTTTCTGGAGATGTGTTAGTGTTTATGGTTGATATAAAATGTCATTCTTATAGTAATGGTGTTATCCAGGTAGCTGCAGTGATCCGTATGATCGCACCTTCTCCAACCTCCATGGTTACAATGGTGAAGGGACTGAGAAAGAACAGCTCTGAAATACCCCTTATGTTTACTTGATATGGAAGGAGCAAACTAGTAGTCGTGAACCATTCATTAATGGTGAACCATTTGATATACTTGCTGTATGTATCACAACTAGAGTTGAGGAGAAATGGAGGAAAAATGTAAACGTTGGGAGAAAAAATTAGGAGTGGAGGGGCCTCATATCAAGAGAGGGAAAGATGGCTAAGATGGTGGGACTTTAGAGATTTGGGTTCAATTTCTAACTCTGCCAAAGACCTTGGGCAAGTCACTTAATCTCCCTGTATCTAAATGTCCCTTCTATCAAATAGGGATAATACCCTACTAAGTATCTAGTGAGAACAAAATATAAGATGCTCAGATACTACGGCAATAAGTACCTGACAGAGAAACATCGAGCCAATCTAGGCTATAATAGGTAGAAAGGGAAGCATACCACCACTTTCTGTTTGAATTCAAGCACTAGTTATGTCATCCCTGACATCGTATCAGATAAGCAGTAGGACTAAATGTTGTCCTTTTCAATTCTGCTTATGAGCAACCTGTGCATTAAAACAGTTTTCCTCTACAGGCTTGTAGTGTTATTTTAGCATCAAACATCACTTGGCTTGTTGTGATGGGGAGTTCACCCCCATACCAGCCTAGGAAGGCTTAATGAAGCTGAGAAGGGGCCAATTAACCAGGTAGGCCACACATTTCCCCTCAACTGTGGCTTAAGTAACCCTGGATTGATGATGGAGCCCAGCTGAGAAGGAACCAGTGAGGCTGGTATAAAGCCAGTGTCATAAATATAAAGGGAAGGGTAAACCCCTTTCAAATCCCTCCTGGCCAGAGGAAAAATCCTCTCACCTGTAAAGGGTTAAGAAGCTAAAGGTAACCTCGCTGGCATCTGACGAAAATGACCAATTAGGAGACAAGATACTTTCAAAAGCTGGGAGGAGGGAGATAAACTAAGGGTTTGTGTCTGTTTGTATGCTGCTTTTGCCAGGGATAGAACAGGAATGGAGTCTTAGAACTTTTAGTAAGTAATCTAGCTAGGTATGCGTTAGATTATGATTTCTTTAAATGGCTGAGAAAAGAATTGTGCTGAATAGAATGACTATTTCTGTCTGTGTGTTTTTTTTGTAACTTAAGGTTTTGCCTAGAGGGATTCTCTATGTTTTGAATCTAATTACCCTGTAAGGTATCTACCATCCTGATTTTAGAGGTGATTCCTTTACTTCTATTTCTATTAAAAGTCTTCTTGGAAGAAAACTGAATGCTTTTTCATTGTTCTCAGATCCAAGAGTTTGGGTCTGTGGTCACCTATACAAATTGGAGAGGATTTTTACCAAACCTTTCCCAGGAACTGGGGTGTAAGGGTTGGGAGGATTTTTGGGGGGGAAAGACGTGTCCAAGCTACGTTTCCCAGTAAACCAGTTAGTTTGGTGGTGGCAGTGGATATTCTAAGGACCAAGGATAAAATTAATTTGTACCTTGAGGAAGTTTTAACCTAAGCTGGTAAAAGTAAGCTTAGGAGGTTTTCATGCAGGTCCCCACATCTGTACCCTAGAGTTCAGAGTGGGGGAGGAACCTTGACAGCCAGGAAGCTGGCAACAGAAAAAGGCTGCAGCCAGGGAGCCTGCAGTCACTTTCTGGATATTAGAAAGAGAGGGAAGGAAAGAAACTTTGAGGAGAGGATGTAGGGGAAAAAGCTTGGGGAAAGGATAATAAGGTTTAAGATCAGCAGCCAAGGTCTGCACTATTAGAAAGTCCCTGAGATAGAACCTGAAGTAGAAGGTGGGCCTGGGTTCCTGTGCAAGTGGCATCATCTGGGCAGTGAATGAGAAGAATGGTGGAGGCAATCTCTATGGAAAGACATTAATATCCTGGAAGGAGGAAATCAAATAGTGACTTGGGTAGAGGGCTAAACCACAAAGGGAGAGCACCCAGGGTCTCACAGAGAGGCAGGAGAACACACAGCAAGTGGCAGAAGGGGGTGTTGGACCTGGAAAAAGCTAATCCCCAGAACAACTAGGAAGAAGTGCCTTAGCAGTGCATGGAACCCCATTACACTTGTGCACGTAGGTTCATATTAATTTTGTCCTATACTTTGTGTCCTCAATTCAGTATCAATAGCATCAGTGATGTGGCATTTAGCATGACGGGAGTTACTCATGTTGCCACTCATTGTCTTTATTCTGCCAGATTTATCGGTTTCTTTTCACTGTATATTGCTTTTGTTCCTCTTTTTCCTATGATCTGAGGAGGAAATCACTGAATAAAGACAGGACTGAAACAAATCACTATTATTGACCTGTTCAAATTTCCTTGATACATTAAAAATAAACTTAAGTAAAGTGCCCAGAGAGGTGGTTGGTGCCTCATAAATCCAGTAAAGATATAGTCACCATTCACCTGGGCTGGAGAACTTGCAAACTAAGGCATCTCACAAATAGTTGCATACATGCCTAACTTCATGCCTGTAAACTTCGTGTCCCAATGAATTGAACAGGACTTCTTACAAGTACAAAAGTGAGTATGTGTACAAGTGTTCACAGGATCTAGGCCTATCCTTTCAGTCCTGCAATAAACTCCATGTGGACAAACCCCTGCATCCTCTCAGAGCTCCATTGAAGCCAGTAGGGTTCCACAGAAGTTTAGTGGTCCATTTATATGGATCTGCTTGTAGAATCAGGTTGGGTCTTAAAATCCAGATTCTGCAATCAAAATCTCATACCTCTGGTAAAGCCTAAATCCTAAACAAAGACCTTTTTTTAGAATTTGCTTTTAAAACACTATAGTAGCCTTTTGTATTGGAAGGAGGCTTGAATATTTTTCCAACTTCGTCTCCCAATAATGTTTATATTTATTTATGGGTTTGTTTGCTTTTGGTCAGAATGAAATACACAAAATAGTGAAAATAAACTGTCATATTAGAATAGGTCAATGTTTCTCAAACTGGGGGTTGGGACCCCAAAGTGGCTCATAACCCTTTTTTTAAAGGGGTCACCGGGATTGGTGTTAGACTTGCTGGGGTCAGGGGCTGAAGCCTGAGCCCCACAGCATGGGTCCAAAGCTGAAGCCCAAGGGCTTCAGCCCTGAATGGTGGGGCTCAGGTTACAGGCTCCTCCCCTGGGCTTCAGCTTTGGGTCCACTGGGCCTGGGCTTTATACTCCCTGCTCCTGGGGCAGTGGGACTTGAGTGGGCTCAGGCTTTGGTCCTCCCTCCTGGGGCCCTGTAGTAATTTTTGTTTTCAGAAGGGGATCACAGTGCAATGAAGTTTGAGAAACCCTTGAATTTAATTCCTTCTCCTAGTGCCCCCAAATTAATTTAGTTTAGGTTTGATATTAGGAAAAACTTTTTCACGAGGAGGGTGGTGAAACACTGGAATGCGTTACCTAGGGAGGTGGTGGAATCTCCTTCCTTAGATATTTTTAAGGCCAGGCATGACACAGCCCTGGCTGGGATGATTTAGTTGGGGATTGGTCCTGCTTTGAGCAAGGAGTTGGACTAAATGACCTCCTGAGGTCCCTTCCAACCCTGATACTCTATGAATGGCTGTTACTGTACTTCTTTCCTTAAGGCCCCCTTCGGGAGTGCTAGACCCGTACTTCCACTTTGCATTTTTTGCAGGATTTATTTTTCAGCTATGAAACAAAAACGGGACGACCACACCTGTGCTTACACGGCAGCTGAAATGTGCCTTAATCCACCTTGAGGGTGAAATCGGTTCACCGGGGCATGGGGCGGACAACAGCTGTCGCTCCCCGCCGCCTCCCTCGGGAGCGGAATTGGCTGGCGCCTCGGCAAAGACTGGCCGCGGGGCGGGGCGGGGCGGGGCAGCGGCAAGCACAAGCGGCGCCCGAACCAGCTGTTTCGCTGCCGCTCCGCGCGCAAGGAAGGGAGCGGGCGTGAAGGCACCAACCAATCAGCAGCCGCTTCCTTTGGGGCAGCCAATCAGAGCCGCAGTTAGATTAGCCAACCGGCGAACGCCTCTCTCTGCTGAGGGTGGGAGGGGGCAGGGCAGCCAATCGGGAACGAGCCGGAGCGGGGCGCCGCCGGCCATGCTGATCACGCTGTGCTACCTGTACCTCTGGGCGCGCTGGGGGGCCGGCTGGGCCGGGCTCATCCGACGCACCGTGCGCCGCCTGCACCGCGCGCGCTGCGCCTTCGTCTTCGGCTGCTGCCGCGGCGGCGCGGGCTGCCCCCCTCCCCGGCGGCGGCGGCGGCGCAGGCAGGGGTCGCCCGGGCTGGGCGAGGAGCCCGTCTGCCTCCGGCTGGGGGACAAGGTCTTCTTCACTGAGGAGACCCCGCAGGTACCCGCCGCGCCCGGCCTCCTGCGTGGGCGTCCAGGCCTGGGGTGGAGAGGCGGGGCCTGTTGTGGGTGGGGTATAGATGGGGCCAGGCCTGTGGGGTGGGTGTTTGCGGAGAGCTGGGAGGGGAGTCACCCTGGGCTTGTCCTGGCTGTGACAGGGAGGTCGGCGGAGTGGATAACTCGGCTTGGGCCAGCCTAGCTGGGGGTGGGAACAGCCACGCTGCCCGGGAGCACAAAGGCCTTGGATTAGCAGCTGAGACACTGTAAATTCAGCAGCTGCATCCCCATTGCTGTATTCGTCCCTCTGCCTCACGCCCTCGCCTGGCTCTTGTAAAGCTTAACTCGAGCTGGGGATTTTTGTGTGTGGAGGGGAGTAAGGTTAGGGCCAAAACTGGAGTTAACCTCAAGCCGACAATAGAATGAAGGGAAGCTCTGTGTTAACTTTCTAGTCATCTGAATCCAAAGATAATATCCCTGCTCCAGGGCTTCTCAGAAATAGGACATAGGGCCGTAAATATCCAGGATTGAGCATCAGTCTCATAGCTGCAGCTGCTGTAATTCTAACAGAGACAAAGGTGGGTGAGGTAATATCTGTTATCAAACCAACTTCTGTTGGTTAGACAGACGAGCCTTCAAGCCACTCAGAGCTCTTCTTCAGGTCTCTGTCTCCAACAGATCTTTGTCAGTAAAAGATATTACTTCACCCACCTTTTCTTTCTAATATTCTGGGACCGACATGGCTACAACTAAGCTGCATACAACAATATAATTCTAAGAGTCATCAATAAGTTTGGTGCTGTATAAACAAAGGCTAAAGACTATCTCTATTTCAAAGACCTTGCAGTCTCTCATCAAGATGTAAATAGAACACATTAGTGACTACGGTCTAGTGTATAGTTACACATGAACACCTACTACTGTGGTTGAGTTAAAGCCTAGTGGGGACCCTGGGTTTTAACCAGACCAGTTTAGCCCATGTTAGGCCATATCTATGCTAGGGGAAAAGATGTGGTTTTTAATCTGTGTGCATTGAATGTATTAACATTTTAGTTCAGACAAGGCAAACTATTAACTGGTCAAGGTAAACCACAGACACAAGATTAAGGGTTACTTCAACTAATTAACATATGTTAAAACATAACTTGTCTTGTGTGCTAGTGTGTTAAAACCCTAGTGTAGATGTGCTTTCGATAAAGTCCAGATCACATTCTCATAAGCAAATTAGGGAAATGTGACCTAAATGAAATTACCACAGAGAGGATGGACAACAGATTGCAAAACTGTATTCAAAGTAGTTACCAATAGTTTGCTGTCGCGCTGGAAGGCTATATGTAGTGGGTTCATTCAGGGATTTGTCCTGGGTCTGGTATTAGTCAATGTTTTCATTAAAGTTCATAATGTAATGGAGAATATGCTTACAAAACTGCAGAGGATCCTAATCTTGGGGGAAGGGGTTGTTGCAAGCACTTCAGAGCACAGGGTTAAAATTCAGGTACAGTAGAACCCCATTTATCCGACTGTCCATTATCCGCCTCTCTGTATTAAACGAACAACCAGCATGCACCAGTCCAGAAGCGGATGATCACTTCTGTGGCCGCTAGATGGTGCTGCAGCCTCGCACTTTCCCATTCTCCAGATTACCTCAATTTATGATGATCCAATCTGGCCTCGGTCCCAATTAGATTGGATAAAGGAGGTTGTGCTGTAATCTTGAAAAATTGGGGTATTGGTCTGAATCAATAAGATGAAATTCAGTAAAGATGACAAGTGCAAAGTTTGATACTTCTCAGTGTTGTGAGGCACCTTGCTACAACTTGCCTTTAGTGTGAGGAAGCTTTCTCTGAACTGTGGTTCAGCTCCCCAACTCCATATTTTGAGCATGAGTCTGAGAGCCAGGAACTCCTGAAGTCTGTTCCTGGCTTTAACGCTGATTCTTAATTTGAATTTGGTCAAGCTCCGGCATCCCTCTAGCTGTAAAACTGAAAGAATACTTAACTAGCCCATATTGGGCTAGGTCAGGGGTCTCAAACACGTGGCCTGTGGGGTTATTTTCTGTGGTCCGCTAGCTCCCCACTCCCCCCAGCATTTACCTAGAGCAGCTCCAGCCTGGCCCGGCACACGCTGGGGGCAAGGGTAGGCTCCCCGCCTGCCCGCGCTGCTCTGGGAAGTAGCCAGGACCTGGGGGAGGGGGAGCACAGGGGTTTCTGTGTTGCCCTGGCCATGCCTCCAGGCACCGCCCCGAAGCTCCCATCGGCCATGGTTCCCCGTTCCCAGCCAATGGGAGCCGCAGGGAGCGGTGCCTGGAGGCGCGGCCAGGGCAACACACGGACCCCTGTGTCACCCTGCCAGGTTCCAGCCACTTCCCGGAGTGGTGCGGGGGCAGGGCGGGCAGGCGGGGAACCTGCCCTGCCCCTGGTGCATGCTGGAGCCCGCCCCCTCAACCCCCTGCTGCACCCCAACCCCCTGCTCTGAGCCCCCTGCCGCACCCCGCACTCCTCCTGCACCCCAACCCCCTGCCCTGAGCCACCTGCTGCACCCCTCCTGCACCCTGAGGAGGCGGAGTTGGGGTGGGGATTTCGGGGAAGGGGTTGGAATGGGCGCTGGGAAGAGGTGAGGCAGGGGCAGGGCCTCATGGAAGGGGTGGAGTGGGAGCGGGGATCAGTGATACAGCCCTCAGGCCAATGTACTAGTCTTCATGTGGCCCTCGTGGTCATTTGAGTTTGAGACCCCTGGACTAGGTTTTGTGCGACTCAGTTAATGTTTCTTCAGCACCGTATATGAGTGCTAAATTTTATTTATAAATATCCTATTTCTTTCCCCGAACTCTGGTGATGTGGAAGAAGTATACCTGGCATCCTCAGTGCATCCCCCATTCCAAAACGTTGAACACAATACATTTTTCCTTTATTTGATTCTTGTTTTCTAACATTTCAGGGAAATGTAGGTGTATTGAAGGGAAAGCTTCCTGTGACAAATTTAGGTAGTTTTGTGTTAGTCATATTAAGAAGAAATCTTTATGGTTTAAATGACATTTTTGAAATCTTTTTTATATTTCTAAATTAAATTAACTATCCTTGAAAGATGCTGGCTTAATATCCATAAGGGTTGAAGACCTCTATAACCACAACAAACAAACAAAACAAATTTTCCTGAACTGCCCAAATTTCGATCTTGTGGTGGCTATCTCTGATGGCAGTTGTTTCCATGTCATTTCAAAATGTAATTGTTTGCAGAGTCTGCAAGCTGTGAAGCCAAACAATGGCTTTTAGTGATTAACTGTGACACGGACACTCGTTCATTGGGAATTGGACTGAGATCAGTTCGTTTCCGACACATTTTTAATACATTAACTACTAAATGTTGATGGTGAGTTTACAATAGGAGTAGTTAGCCTGAAATTTTGATTGTAAAATGCAACAATTCAGTTTTTCCAAGTTATGTTGTTTAATTATTTATACACAAGGCTACGATTTAGACAGGGAGGTCACGGAATCTGTGACTTCCAGTGACCTCCGTGACTTCAGCCTGTGGGAGCAGGGAGCTGCAGGATCCCCCCACTGCCGGTGGGGGGCAGGGAGCTCCCAGCCGCCTTGAGTGCTGGGGGACCCCCTGAACTCCTGGCCGCCACGGGTGGTGGGGGCCCCTGGAGCTGCTGGTAGTGGGGCAGTCCCCGAGCTCCTGGCCATCGGGGGCAGCAGGGGAACCCCTGAGCTCCCAGCTTTCACAGGCCCCTGCAGTTGTGGACGGCAGGGATATCCTATAGCTCCCCACCCCCGCAGGGGCACCTCCCAGCTGCTGTGGCCATGGGGGAACCCCGAGTTCCTGGCCTTCGCGGGCCCCTGGAGCTGCTGGTGGTGGGGGTACCCCGCAGCTCCCAGCTGACACAGGAGGCGGGGGCATTCCATAGCTCCTGGCCCCTACAGGCAGCGTGGGCCCCTGGAGCTGCAGGTGGCAGGGGTATCCCGGCAGCCCCTAGCTGCTGCAGGCGGCTCCTAGCCACTGCGCAGCTGCCCCACTTCAGGCAGTGTGGGGACATGTACATCCCCATTGTGTCAGGGATGTTTTTATTAAAGGTCATGGACAGGTCACGGCTTCCATGAATTTTTCTTTTTTGCCCGTGACTGTCTGTGACTTTACGAAGAATATCTGTGACAAAATCCTAGCCTTACTTATACAGTGCTAAAAGTGTGCTAGGCACTTTACAGACAGGTAGGAAGGCAAGATCCATGCAGTAAGGACCTTAGTTTAATACATTACAGAGAAGATAGATGGGACAGGAATATAAGTTAAAGCCATTTAAGGGGCTATGTCTATGTTGTTAATGCTACTCTTTTTTGTTTTGCTTTGTTTTGAATGTTGAGAGGGGTTTTCTGATGTTTTTTGTGCTTCTTCCCTTTCAGGTAGGTACTTGGGACCTATAGGCCTAACAGAAGTATATTGTAAGAAGGAGAGGGTGGAGGCATGGTGAACGATGTCAGATCGAGGCTCCTGGTATAGGTGGGCCATAATCGAAGAAGCTACAGACAAGTGGGTGAAGGATATGAAGGGAGCAGTTACTTAGGCAGGTAGTGCCTTCTTAGTTTAAAAGTGTCTATACTTGTGCTTGCTAAGTGTTAAGAGGTTTAAGACTTGAAGTTAGGTGTGTCTCATTCATTCGGTGGAGAGGTCTGGATTTCTACTTTGAGTTGAGGTCTGTGGTTGGTCATCCTGTAAATTTAGGACTACATGCTACTCAATCCAAAGTGCTGCTCCAGCTCATAACAATGGGAAAATTTCACAAAAACTGAGGAGTAGAATATAGCTTTTCCATAGTAACTAAACTTTTAAGCATTAATTTGTTCAGTGCCTTATTGTCACTTTCAGCATCACTCAGTGGGGAAAATATGCCCGCCTTTAGGACCAGCATTATTTCTGCCTTTTTCTCACTCTGTCTACTTTCTCTGTTTTGCATCCTCTATGTTTTTGCTTCTGCAGTTTATTTCCTGCAATAGCTTCACTCGT